CACGCCGGTCATCACTGTATCTCGAAGTTGCTCTAGTAAATTGATGACCCCCGGACTTGGGACCGAGCCGAGCGGAAGCAGGAACAGGGCGGTAGCTTCCTCGCCAAAATCATCCGAAGACTGGCTGTTCACAAAGCTGCAATTCCCTCCAGCAGGCCTTGAAAGCAAATCGCTGTAGACCAAATGAGAAACACAAATACCGTTCCAAACAAAACTGTGTGACAGGAGCAAAAGCTCTCCACTGCAAGAGTGTACTGCAGGGGCTTGCCGTAACGCACAACTCGCCTCTTTTTCCCCAAGAGCAGCAGGCCTGCATAGCCATGACCAACAAAGTGGCTTGCATGGGCGCAGGAGCGAACAAGCAGTTGCATACGTCGCCACATACTCAAAGATCCATGCCATGTAGTTAAGTTGGAAAAGCATCAATGAACCAAGCAACAAACACATTGCATAGTGTAGTCCATGCCTTCGGGGCCTCCAGGAAGGGGCCGAAGTTCGGCTTCCCCACGAGAAAATGAGTTCCGTGAAAGAGTCTTCAGAAACCATGTATTCCGTGAGTGAAAAGTCAAGCATGCCGAAAATCACGTTAATGCAGCACCATCCATGGCAAGGAAAACTACAACCCACCCCTAGACTCGAGCCGCTCGTGGTGCTTGGACACGGCGTCCGAGACATTCGCCGCCGAGGGGACCCGACAGAACGGCCACTGGCCTGACCCCAGAAGGCGGCCAGGATGCCGTTCACGGACAGGTCCTTGCCGGGTGCCGCATCGTCGCTCGTACCTTGCGCAGGGGCAGGTCCAAGCACACCACGCAACGGGCCACAGTGATGTCGCCCACCCGCGCCCCGGCGACCTCGATCTCCCGGAGCATGAACCAGCTGAACACGAAGACGTCCGCCGAGTGCGCGACCCGCCGTGGCTGGTCGACTTCGCCAGAGGCCAGGAACCTGTTAAGGTTGGCCGGGCCAACCGCTTCGACTGCCGCAGCAACGGAATAATGAAACGTCCTTGTGGCAAATCGGCCCGGTCCGGGCCCACCACGGCTAGACAGAGCGGAGGCCGGAACCCCTTGAGATGCCACGCCTGCTCGCACCAAGGCCGGGAGGTGCTGGGACTGGCCGGTCAGGGCGACGAGCTCGGCGAAAGAACCCCGCGCTTGAGCCCTGAGCCAAACAACCCCCAACGGCAACCCTAGGGAAACCGAAAGAGGAGGGAGAGACGGGAGGAAGGAACCAAACCTCCGCAACGACTTTTGGGCTGCTCGGCGATCCCTTTGCACCCGTCGCGGGCACATCCTCCAGCGAAGATGCCGTAAGCACCGCTACGACATAGGAGGTGCCGCCACGAGGCCCAAGCCAGTCGCCGAAACGAAGTCGGCGAAGGTTTCGGAGAAGACGCTACGCGAAGAAGCACCGGGGAAGCCATGCTTGGGACGTGAAGCAAAGGGATGAGGGAATGCTGAAAATAGGCGATCGAGCCGCATGCTGCGGTCGATCGCGAGTGCTTGTTCCTACTCACACACGTGTGCTACACAACAAGAACGTCACGGTCGGGAAGCACGAAACAAGAACGTCATTACCCCCCATCCCCCCTCCGCCCCCCCTCCAAAAAAGAACACTGGAGCACAAGACGCACGAGACAAGAACGTCATTACCCTCTCCCCCCGTGCCCCCCTGCCCCCCAGGACAGAGACCTCGTCATCGAAGCGACTCACGTTTCAGGCTTCTGCAGGAAATTGGATCTGCAAAAACCGCACGAAACTCATGTTTCTAGAACTTGCGAGGCGTGTGCCAACAAAGCCCGGACACACGCATAAAACGCGACCGGACACACAAAAGCGTTGAATTTGGCTCCGTCCCTAATCGCGACATCCGACACTCCCCAAACCCCCCGCGGAAAGTGCAATACCTTACTTCCACGGCGTCCAGTGGCGCACGTGCCGAGAACAAGGCATCCCAAAATGCTCCCAATATTAACACGAAGTTGGAAGAATTCATCCCGTCAGGCTCTCCACAACACGACAGCACACTGTGAAAAAAATTGCGGGCGCCCAATTAAAAACTTATCCAAACATCCCGCATCATGCAAAAGCCAACCTTTAACCGTTGACACATCGCGAAGAGCAAATGCACCGTTTTGCCAAATTGACCGGATGTTTTGCGATGGCGGTTGCAGTCTGGGCTTCTGTTGCATCTGTTCAAGGGCTAATCGAAAAACGTACTCAATGGAACACTATTGTTCTGACGCGATGGTAGAATGAGCTCTTTGTGTCTAGGGCCTCGTAGTGATTAGAATCAAGGCGCTGTATCTGTGAGGAGAATACACCTGTGAGTTCTGATCGGTAGAGGAGAACTGCTAAGGTGATCTGTGAGTTAACGCAGAGTTTGCGTTTGTGAATGATCCCTGGAGGTGCCGGATAGTTGTAAGCCGAAAACAAGCCGCACCGATATCGGCAACAATAGATTGGCTCCTCGCCGCATATGCTTTGGGAATGGACACGGATATCCTGCAGGTGGGCACTCCAGGCGCTGCGGGGAGGGAAGTACAGGAGGGCTCGGCGATGAGATCATGAACAGAATAGCTGCCACAGTATCGATCGAGAGCACATCGACAATGGGCGACTGTTGGACGCAGAACGCCACGCAGAACAACAAGACCCGGAACCAAGAGACCTAAGTTAGAAGTGATGGGCAGGGACGTGTCGACCCGAAAGCAGCATGGTGTTGGCTACCACTGCATCGACCCTGCAGTCAGTGACGGATGTGGGCCGAACCTGAGCCTTTCGGACCTTTCGGAGGCAAACGCGAGTACCAAGATGCAGATGCAAAATTGGCTGTGAAATCCTCGAGCATCGAAGAAATCACACAGAACAAAGGACATGTACAAACAATAAGCTCTGAAGAACAAGGAAAATCCTTCAGCTGCTAGATCCTAAACTTTGCGTTGCGAATGCACGTACACCTCAAATGCAACCATCCAAAACAGAGCGCGGGGTGGATGGCTGGCCAAACCCGTATATGATGGACGACAAACCGGAAAGCCTCATGGAGAGTGAACGGAAGCCTGAACGAGCGGTGTGATGAAACCCCGTCTCATCGCTGCAGGCGACATCGATGGGATGGAGAAAGCTGAAGCGAAATGCTAGCCATTTCGCTACAATGGCCACCGCATGGTGCATGTTTGCACCCCGAACCCATTCCTTCCCCAACTGCGGTCAGGAGACGAGGTGATCTGAAGGTTGGGATAAGCTGGAAGACTGAACCCTTGACTGGCAAAGGAAGCGGACGAAGAAGCTGGGCACCGGATGTAACAGAGGGACAAGACGAGAGGACAAGTGAGGACACTTGCGGTCCGGGCCTGGCAGCGAGAGGGCATCCGAAGCCCGTGCGCCGCCGTTCCAGGCGATGCCTACATTTTTGCCTACTGCCATCGAGGTATTAGCCGGGCACCGAGAGTGTGAGAGTATGCACAAGGAAGGCCGAGATATTGGGACTGTAGCAGGAGTTGAGCAAGGCAAAGGCAACTCGACAGTCTACCCAAACCCAAGCATCAATGGTGGGGGGGTGTGACCGTCCCAAACCGGCAGCACACGTGGCCTGGCGTCCGCGGCACTGGGCTGCCCGCCTTGCTTCCTGAGGAATGGGGTCCCGGAGGGTCCGTCTTGGAGATTGGGCAACTCTGCTGGCCTGGCATCGCGGGATGTGAGGGCTGCGAGCCTTGGCCTGTCACATTCTGAGTCTTAAGCGAATGAGGTCATGCTCGAGCACCACGCGCTCGCTAGTTGCTTTGGGGCCTGGTACACACGCGGATGGTGCGATCGGACTTAGGGACTTCCTCCCACCTCGTGCAGAGTCACTGAATTTCCTTCCGGGAGTCTTCTTGAGCCCAGCCTTGTACCTGACGAAGTTCGACTGCGCTCTTCACTGAGCGCAGACCTGCGCAATCTCGACATCACACAGGTCTAGGGCCTAGGCTATGCTGCCTTGTGGCACGGACGGGTGTGGACTACTTCCAGGAGGCCCCTGAGCAGGAACTGGCGGCGGCGGGCTCTGCACCTGCATGTTGCAAGAAGCCAGTGGCTTCATTACCATCTTTCCTTAACAAGTTATGCTTGCAAAACTCTCCATCTCTGTGTTCTGCCTCTGTCTCAGGTAGAACAAGGGCATGAGAGGACTTCACCGCTTGCGATAGCATCCGCTTCCGACGCCTGGTTGTAGCAGACCCTTTCGCACAAGGCCAACAACTCAGCTCTACTGTCGATTCTGAAACGAACATACAATTGCACGGCGGCTGTCCCTTTGGGCACTGGCACTTGCTCTAAGCTAAGCTTGTCCAATGAAGTGAGAGACGAAAATAGCAGCTGTTCCCCAGTCAGCGTATATCTGCAGAAGCAGTCCCCAGTGCCCGGTGCCCCACCCATCAGTCCATCCACCACCCATCAGCACATGTCGAGCTAAGACTGGGAACCGGAGGTTTCACAAGATGTGCTACACCCATCAAAAGAACACAGAAACGCGATTTCGGATGCGCTGCTCTGTCGGCCCTGTTGAAAAAAAGAACTTGTAGACGCTGACGTTGACCACCATCACAAGCCGTCGGCCCTTTTGAGCAACATGTCAATGTGCAACAAGCTCTGAGCCCACTGCTCTGGACTGCGAAGGATGAACTCGCCATCCGTGCAGTCACTGAGTTCACCCTCACTTCGCTTCAGCATTTGAGATGGCTGTGCGTGGCTGTGGCAAGCTGTGCTCACTCCGTCCTTCTCATGCTTCACCTGCCGCAAGATGCGAACATCGGCCTGCGAAACTATTCAGCACACAGCACACGTAGCCAATCCCACCTCCTAATGCCTCGAGGACGCCCAGGAGTGCCCTAAGCTTGTCGATTTCCAATTCCAATGTCCTGCCTTTACCAACAACTGCAAGCACAAAAACGACACGTGCTGAGGGGTCATGGCGCCTTCGCCAAGTGCGTTTCGCAATCGCGCGAGCTCCATTCAGCAATATGGGCTTGGCATTGCTCTCGTAGTCATATAGCTGGGTCTTGCCGCATTGGGAATCCGCCCCCCCCCCCCCCCCCCCGTGCAAATGGGGTCAGGGGCGCACACCATGTGCACAAGCTAAACGAGGATGATCTAGGCTTGTGTCCATGTGGAAACCAAGACATCTAAAACACACATCATCGCCAGTTTGTGCCGAAGTTCTGCACATCACTGCAGCACGATGCCAGAGTTTCCGCGCATTTCTGCTCCGCACGGGTCTATCTTCGTGAAAGCTGCCTGAGGCGGCTCATGACCTAGGTTCAGCTCCACTGCACACTGATCCTGACTTGCCCATCCTGAGGTTGGAGCTTCTTCGTTGCTTTGGTGTAGCCTTTCTTCTGCGAAGCTTCCCAAAACCTGAGACGACCGCACCTAATCCTTCTTTTCGAGCTGCTCATAGACAAGTCTCTGCGCTGGGTACCGTGCGCCATGAAATCTTGATGCTTCTCAGCATACACATCCACTTCGACGGCCTCGTGGCAAGGTGCTGCAAGTCGTGAAGCATGAAGCACACAGAAACTGAGTCAGCTGACACCTGCAATCATCCTGGTGAGGACCTCAGAGAAGACAAGTGACAAGAGTCTTCAAGGGCCAGCTTCTGGCAACATGCTTTGGCTAAGTTTGGTGCTGACCTGAGGAGAACCATCGACTCCGGCACAGGCTTGCCCTTCACAACAGTTGCCTCGAAAGCTCGTTCCGAGTGCAGTGTGCCCCAGAAATGCTACAGCTGTGGATCTGTGCCACATCAGTAGCCGGGAGCCAGGTACTCTTGACCTTTGCACTCGAGTTGAAGTCATCCTTTTACAACATACACTGGCTGACTGATCTGCTACATGCTACTTCCAGGGACTACACCGAGTGAAATGGCTGGATGCACAAGAACAGGATATGCCTAAGCAAAGCGGGCGACCAAATCAATGCACGGACACTGCCAGAGGCTTACCTCTCTGGGGCGCCGTCTTGAACATGGTTCCAATCGTATGATGGGGAGTGTATGCCCCTGCTTTGTTGTATTCCAGGGTCACCAGCGCAGTGCCCACGGGTCTTAGAGCAGCAGAGTGCCGAGTTGAAAGTTTGTCCAACCAGGTGCTCGGGACCTACTCAGGCTGCTCAGGACCCGGCTTCTCAAAGCTTTCCAAGCCCTCGAAAGTGGTTTTCTTCCAGGCCTGCAAGGTACCCCGGCAGTGGATGCTGCCGACGCGCATCACATCTCAGCAGTCGCATTTGGCTGGGGCTTCGCGCAAGCACTGCCGTCCCATTGGTTCGTGCTCCCTCAGCTAGAAACGCCAAGAACGTCGTGCTGGAAAATTAGCCGAATGAGAAATCTCGGGCCTCAGGGAACACAACAACCGGACCCCGCCAGCCTGGCTGAATGGACAATAGGGAGGGTGTATCTTTGACATGGCAGAAGCAGCTTGCGGCCTGTGCGGGCTGCTTCGGCGATGTCTTTCAAAGATTGCCTAAGTCTCGATGACATTACGCTCCATGTTCCTCAACATGCATTTCGCCCACTTGATGCTGCGAGCGGCGGCGTTTCCACGGGCACTGAAGCCCGCCGAGCACCAGCCCCTGGCATGTGTCTCTGCTCACGCACTTATTCCGGAGAGCAGTGCACGAGACCCCTGCTGCGAAGCGCCCCGAGCACCGAGTAGTAGGGCACAGGCCTCAAGACCACGAATGTCGATTCGCCCTCACATGTGCCATGCAACGTTTCGCCAACGTCGCCAGACAAGGCCCAAACGATCCATCAACTGCAGGAAACACAAAGACCGGACACAGCCTGATCTGATACACCAAAATCATCGAAAGACCTGAAACGACAAAGGCATAGCTTGAACCTCATGCCCAGGTAGAGGACGTCAGTCAGCCCCTGCCTCAAGCACAACGACCAGTCATAATGATTCAAAAGCGGGACATCACAGAACGATCCCAGTGGGTATGTGCGGGCCGCGGACGTGTTCGAAAGCACCAAGCAACCTCGCCGTGCATCATAACAAGAGGAACTGTTCACCTGACGCAAGAGAGCCAAGGTAAGCTTCACATCAGACCTGCGAAAATCTTGATTGCAGCTATAGACTTAACAACTTAATAGCTTCAGCTGCCAAGGGAACAGCCAGTGCACCTTCGGTGGCGCAAGCTTCAACCGTCTATGATCTGCTAGAACATGACCTGGTCAGGCTATTTCGTTTCTGCTCAGGATTCAACAGAGCGGTCAGGACAGAAGGTCGGGCCTCCAGCTGTGAACCAGAAGCCTTAAATGCGGTGGATGCTGTCATGAGCCGCAAGGGGTTGAGAAATGCACGTAGGTTCCTCACCTAGGCCCAGTAAGGCCAGACTACAGCCAGCGTAGGACAGCAGCCAATGCAGCGGACGCCTGCGCAAAACAGATCCCGCCACACACATAAGCGTCCCGGACACAAGACGAAAAGCTGCTGCACACGCACCAACTTCGCTCACAGAAGTAAGTGCTGGCCTGACGATCTTGCATGAGTTTAGTTGTAAATTTAATGCTTGGGGGCTTGGTGAGCGAAACTCGGAACTTTTCCGCGCCATAGGCCACACCGATCTTAGCTCCCCACCTGACTATGGGAAGGAAGCCCAGTGGCCAACACAGCAGCTCCGCCAGTACTAGCCTCTGCGAGTAGCACTCCGAATCCACAAAAATCAAAACAGAGCCTTCGGGTCTCGGTCTAAGCTTGCAGCCATAGAAATGCCGTCACGACCATGCACAGACGAAGCAATGCCAGTGACAGAAGGGCCTCAGCCATCACGAAACCAAGGCCGAGTTTCAGAGGATCTCAAACTTTAATCGTCCAACTCCTGTTGTCCAACTAAGCAGGAAGCCAGCTTAGCGCACTGCATGACCAACCCGGACTGAGCACGTCTATGCGACATGCATATGTCGCGGTCACCAACATGCTCCGTTCTCAACAAACATGTAGCTCGTTTTGCACCTTGTGGTGCGACCACACCGGCACAAACGGATTGACACCAGTACCTGGCCAACACGTGAAAGTTGTTCGAACCAGGCCCCTGCATGGAATTAACCGAGTTTATCACGAATACACGCGCGGCCTCCATCGGCAAATTGCCGGTACTTCTCCATTGCTGCACTTGGCAAATGCACAGGGCATCAACTCCCGAAGCTAGATTGCTGGGCTTGGTTTAGACTTTGTTTAAGTGGTAGTGAAGTCCATGCCAACATGCGTCCATGTAGAACTCGCGAAAATGGAAACATGTCATCGGAAGTCATGTGTTGTCATGCTGGAGTCGTAACATTGAAATCAATAACACCACTGAATCACTGACCAGTGCCAAACGTGGCTAGTCTACGCGGCATTTGACCTGTTGGCTGGCATTGTTCCTCGGACACGCATGCATTGTGAGAGCATGCTTTGACTGCATCGTTTGCATACCTTTCATCTCCAGCGCGCACTGCCGTTCTGAATCCTCAAACAAACATGGTCGCTTGTGACCCGCCAATTGCCACCAATGGTCACCAATGGCGATGTGACGTTAGTTTCTTCGCTTCGACGGAAGCTACCTGGTTTAAACATGTCTGCAAACTGAGGTGCCGTCGACACCAAATATTTGAAACAAATGGAACAAGCCAGACCAGGCCGGGCAAGATAACACGTGGAAGCTTTGACGGACGAGTGGGTTCCAGAGGCTAGCACTGCTCTATCATTCAACCGATGTTTGTTAATCGTGTTGGTTCTGTAGGCGATGCCGATGCGGCTGGTGCCAAACAGTCAACATGCAACACATCAACACGAAATACATGAGCAAACATAACACGGTCCTCTGGATGCGACAATTTATCCTGTAGCCACAACTTCAAAATATCACCACTAACGTCACCCGAAAGCGCAACTGCCATCAGAAAAAAATGAAGCACAACACAATCTCGGACTCAGACAACCGGTTCACTCACTGAGCAATCCCACTAGGTGAGCTCGCAATGCATGCAGAGCAATCTGCCATTCCCATGCGACAACTTAAGCATCGGCATGGTCTCCTCTTACCGGAGAAGACCATCAATGGAAGCTTATTTCAGCCAGCGAAGCAGATCCTTTCAATGGTTGCAGAATACTCAGTACCGCACGTATTCAAATCAATCCATCAATCTGGTACTAAAACACAAACGTTTGCGGAAATGAAAACCGCCACTCAACATGGACATAGACCCACCATGAGTTTCGAAAATACGGCAATCGATTCATCTGCAGTTACCAGATGTCCTCGCAAAGCTTGTGTATCAATGACCAAGTTTGAGCACAATACTTGGCATTGTGGGTCCCGACCAATCGAGGACTTGCATGACGTTCCGTATCCAATCACTCAAAAGCATGGCAGAAACAAAACTCCAAGGCAACTGTAAGCCACGATTCAGACTGAAGTCCCAACACACTTTTCCAAGGCCCAAAGGTGTACAGTCACAGTAAAATCATTGCAACCATCACAATTCACTTCACACACGCAGATGAAATTAATCGTAGAAGAAACATCAACAATAGCTGCACATCAGGCATGTGAAGCAAAGCGCTTCTTTTCAAGGGTGCTGCTTACAGGAGATCACCTTGCACAGGCGGATCTAGCGTTTCACGCTTTTAGGGTGCAGCGACCAGTGCCGACATGAAGTGGTTCGATCGCTGTTTAAAAACGCATTCGAAAGTGCCGTTGAATGGCAAGCGGTGGGTACTTTGTAAGGGCTGCCGTGCAGGTACTCTTGTCGGCACTGGTTGCTGCACCGCATGTCAAGCAAAATTCTGGTGAGTAATAAGCAAGCAGGCAATGGCATCCTAACAGACAAGCGTCGATCATCTATGCCGGCTTTGATGGATCTTCTATCCAACTCTCACAAAGTACAGGATCCAGAAGGCGCGTTTTTTGCGTGGAGGAAACACCTTATCGATCGAGATGTGCGTTGGTGCTGTCCAGTTCATACTTTCCAC